GTTCCGGATTCGTCTCCCGGGTCTGTGCGCGCAGCTGTGTCTTGCCGACCCCTCCCCTCCTGCAGGCTTGTGCAGGCCCCTGCAGAGTGAGCCCGCCGCCCCCAGGGCGCCGGGAAGCCGCTGCCGCGGGTTCTGGCTGGGTTGGTGCAGAGGAGGCGGGTCTGCTCGGTGACCGCAGTGGGCGGCGGCTGCCCAGGAGGCCGCCCGTGGATGGGAGCGTGACGCACCGAGCTCAAACCCCAGCCCTGCTGCCGTGGCTGGGCGGCGGGGCGAGCCTCTGTCCCTTCCCAGTTAAATGCGTGGGACCGTGCCGGGGCGCAGCACATACAGACCCGCAGAGGTACCCCGAAGTGCCCGCTGGGTTGAGTGAACCTGTGTTTTGCAGAGAAGTCCCTAAGGACCAAAAGAAAGAAGCCCCCGCCCCGGGAGAGAGGCGACCCCACGGGGCCGGACGACGAAGACCCGGCCGCCGGGCCCCAGCCCTCGGGGTCCCTCAGGTGCGGCAGAGACCCCTGGTGGCCTGAGGCTGCAGGTGGGCGGAACCATGGCTGAGCCACGGCCGGCAGCGGAGTCCAGCCCTTGCAGGCCGTAACCCGAGGGCCTGAGGGGTTCCCAGGAAGCCCGCGGTCACAGCCCTGCTACCATTAATGTCCTCGGCTCCGTCCTGCCTTTGTGCAGCCTGAGTGGCCACAGCCTCCTGCCCTGACCGCTGCTGGCCACATGCTTTGGGTTTGCTGTGGGTCCCCCCGGGTCATCTGAGCAGGCGCTGGCTCCCCGATGGCCGGTCACGGCCTCCGCGCCGGTCCCATGGCGAGCCCCTGCCTCTGGCCACGGGGAACCCCATTCCGACCGGCTGCCTTTCTCCCGTGCGTTCAGCAGCAAGAGGCCCGGCCACCCGGACAGCGAAGCCAGCGGCAGCGAGAAGCCCAAGAAGCTGCTGAAGAAAAGAAGCAACTTGTAAGCCGAGGCTGGTGCTAGGCTGTGCCTGCCCTCTGCGGTGTGGGCAGCACACGCCAGCCCCGGGGCTGGACCCGGGCTCCTCGCGCCCCCGGCCTGTGGGGGTGGAAAGAGGACGGAACGTGCCGGGGAAGCCTGGCTGGCGGGCGGCGGGCGCCCGAGGCTGCGGGGACCCTGGCCGGAGCCCAGGCTGTCTCCTGAATTCCAGAGATGGCCTCACACCGCCCGGTCGCTTCCTTCCAGGCCCCTGTGCCCCCACCCCG